ACTAAATTCTGTCAAACTGCCAATACGCATACTGAATTTGCATTCAGCTGGTTGGCATGATTGATTGCGAAGCATTTTGATAGGTATCATACATTGGTTAGAAAAGCACTGTCCTGTCCCTTTGTGATGGGTTAGAGAGAGTTCCAGTTTAACGGTGCATTCGGTTTCAACTTCTGACATTTCGCCTACCGACTTGGGATTGCACCCCACAGACTCTCTGTCAGTTCATGAAGTCGTCAGCAGCGTTAGCAATCCAGTAGGTAGGACTAGTGGATACTCGTCTGAGACGGTGCGCGCAACTGAGCGTGGATATCAGAAGACAGTTGGAGTCGGACACAGAGGACTGTATTCGATGGGCTACACGAAGACGGGGACGGATGAATCGAGACAAGGACAACAAGTTAGCGCGGGAACTTACAAACCAATCAAGTGTCGAGCTGGATGTAGGTCACCATGGAGGTAATGTAAGCGAGATTAAAACAAGAAAGTATGATGTACAATTGGTCATCGGTGAAATTGTACGCATAGGATAATACTTAGCTTGTGGAACGCTACAAGTTGACCAATTTTAGTTTACCTGATTTGATCACGAAAACACATGTCCATTAAAAACAGATCAGTGTCCCATTTAAGATTCTGTATAACTAATCCGGCACAATACGTGTAATGCATGCCAAAGGCCACTTCTCATTGTCTTTAGTAGACTGGAGTATACGAATTACCTCGATTAAGATATGAGGGAACTAAATTTTCAATCCGCATTAACTAATTACACAATCGAGAGGCTATGTGAGTCCATTAGCTAAACCGGAAAGCAGCCACCAACAAATAAACCGAATCCGATTCCATCCGCTACTTTTACACGTTTGATGTTCAGTATCTGCGACACCGTCAGGTTGGCAACATTTGTTGGCATGCATAAGGTCGGTGAAATTTGACATTGTAACTGGCTAACAAACCTTTTTACTCGGATAAAAGGAATCCTTCTCAACACTGTCATTCTCCTTATTCAGGAAAATACATGATCCGATGAGGTGCGTTATCCGTCGGTAGAAGAACTGGTATTGTTAAACATTCTATCACACACTTGTACACTTCAGTGTATCCAAGGGTATTTTATCCCATTTACTGCACATTGTGAGACAAACCACCTGAGGTCGTTCCGCTACAGTTGGTAAGTCGAAAGTGAAGCACTTTTTACTAGGGCACAAAGCATTGGTGATCCCAAAATGATGCACATTTATATTTTGTTTGGTAACTCACAGGAGCTCAACGGTAAGCAACTCACACGTCACTCTGCACAAGTATACGCCACTTGTCACAACCAATTGCGCGGGCTATTTCTCATCATTGTGTTTGTATCTACGTGACCTACGTAATCCCTACTCTTTTTTAAACGACATCACGTCGATCCATTCATTCATCAAGTAAGCACTTACTGTTTCTAACGGTGTTTAAGGCACCTCGTTTCCTAACTGACGGTGGCTTCTATTCCTTATCCCGGTTCGGTCCTGTTTAAATCCATCTACAGTGCGAGTTGTGATGGCAACGGAACAATTCAGACGCTCACCTGTTGCTAATTAATTATCGAACCACACGGCCAACTAGAACTTAGGTTATCTAAAACAATATGGACGGCAAACACCCCGGAGAGTTCAGTGTTCCTAATCTCTAATATTAAATGAATATGACAGTATCGAGCGTCCCAAGGGTGACTTGCAGTGGGATTGTACACACTTGTTGTGCTCGCTATTCGTGTCTTTCCATTCGTGGTCTTATAATAAACAAAAACCTGAATGCAATCGCAAGATGCCCTCCTTCTATGAGGGAAGGAAGACTAAGTTATTGGCTTAATTTTTATGTAACACGTGGCGGTTTCTCCGAATTATCCCATTTACACTTTAACAATAAATTACTGGGATGCCATCAGTGCCTCTCATTTGAAATCTGTTATACAGTTCTGCATTAGGCCTGTCATCGATTGGAGAATGTTCAGTCAACAAGTAAAAAAGGTAACGGGGAACATAGCATGGCAAATGCATTGTTGCTTGTCTCTTCAATTGCCTATCCAAAATGAAGAATTTCCACCTAAATCATGCGCAAGAGCTATCGAAATCAGTCTGTTTTCCTCGAGTAACGGTTTGGATCATGTTTGCAAAGTCACAGCCCTCAGGAATAGCTCGCCATACGGAAAATGACGCTGGATCCACAAGGAACAAGCGTTGTTACCACGTAACAGATTATCGGGATAACTGTCCCTCTCCCCTAGCATCGGACGTTACTACTTGGTACATCAAATGATCACTAGTCTTTTCGTGTCAGTTACTTAAGGAACTTGTACCAGTGGGTAAAGCGAGATCCGAAATCTGGTTGTGAATACCCTGTTAAGAGTTTACCGCCAGATATTCGTTGTAGTAAATGTCCCTTATTGCTCCTTGCGTGAATGACAAAATCGCAATGACAAATATTCCTTCCCTTTCTTTAACTCAGTGAGCTAAACAAATAAAATTTGATTCCTAACAATGTGAAACACGTGGTTAAGGGCATGATCATGGAGATTCACTAGCGTACCTAACATGGAGCACGGGCGGATCAGAATTAATCGAATGAATGGACAAGTGTAACTAGATTTGAAGTAAGTGCTCTGCTATTCGACCGATGTAAAAAAACTATAGCAAAATTCTGAATAAATAGTTGTGACCAAACAATATTAATAAATGGGTTTTGAAATGATTTTACAGCTAGGAGGGGCGTTTACTCACACAAGGGTGTGTACATGTGCACCAAAACGTAGAGAGCTTTTTCGACCTTTTAGTCTCCTCGACAACGTGCACCTCTTTGGTTAATGGAAAAACCCTAACAGAGACACTATCGCTACCATACTGGCACACGAATTTCCCGGCCACATAGGTTACCGGCCTGCAAAATTGTCCAGCAATAACTCATAGCTGGGTAGTTTGGCTCACCCACTTTGACGGAATTTTATCCATGCATTTGAAGTGCAGTAGAACAGAGTCCCCATACGTACATTACCAATACAGTTACTGGTAGTAAAAGCAATAATGAATGTTACGATAAATCAAGCACAAAAATAATATGGTTGCCCCGCCACCATCTTTGTGACTGTGTTATCTCCCGTTAATGTGCAAGATCCCACGTCCCATCCAGATAGAAGACAAGCGGTAATCCAAATCATGCGTTGATTATATTTTGCATTTTTTTGCTACCTCATCAGCTGGCCACCACGTTGTTTCACTTGACCAGGTGCATTAACCGCAGCCAATGTTCAAAGCGGAAGCTTGCGTGTAGCTATGATCGGGGGCATGGATTAGCCAGAGCGAACCGTTCGTCCTTAACAGACGCACCGGTGACACACCAAACCGTCGGTCGTACACATCAATTGAAGAATGATTAGAGGGTCCTTTTGAAGTATTTGTTGTGTGAACTGATTCACATGGAAGTGCACCTTGGTCATTGCGGTTACCGGGACGGTAGCCGAGGCAGATGGAAAAAGGTGGAGTTTTCAGTTTGTATTTCAACAGTCCCTGGTTCGAGGCCTGCTATCTCAACGGGATGAGCTCAAATGAGGTCGAAACACGTGATAGTGTGTAGTGTTTTCGGGCAGGCAACTCCTAATTTCCATCTGTTTTGGCTACCGTCCCAGTGATCGTATGGACAAAGATTAGTTCAATGTGATTTGCGCGTCCCAATCCATGCACACCATGAGTCCTTCGAAACTCCCTCCAATCACTCATTATCTGTTGTGCCGAGCGTTGCGGGTCGTGCCCAGGTAGTAAAAGGATAGAAGTTGCGGCCAATATTTTAACGATTCAGGGGTTCCAGGTCTGCAATCTCCACCGGATGAGATCAAATGACGTCGAAATGTGGCGTGCTTTGCAGTTTTTGGGGCGGGCAACACCCACTTTTCATCCAACGAAGAATTCGTTAAGCGATCAATTTTCACCCCGGTACATGTAAGCAACACTTCGCAGACATCGACGGTTTAAGCGCCAACGGCATCAGATACGGAGCAGCCGACTTTTTATCCCTGTGCTGGCACTTCTCCATGCTTCTAAAGTCTTGTATCCTGCCGTATACCTAGGTGACAAAGACTTGAACTGCCCCACTTACCTCACGATTGCTTGCAATAACCTCCCGCGATGCAACCAGCAGAACAGACACAGATGATTGGAGAAACAAATCCAGCAGCCACTTTGAACAGTTTTACAGTGATGGATAAACTTGTGGTGGATCGACTCAGCCTTGTTACATTGACCTTTCCTAAGCAACACTGGTAGACGCGAGTGGAGTTGGACATCAGACCATTCAGCAGCACTTACATAATAGTTGGGTCTGACAGAAATGAAAACCGTTATCTATACACACTACAGGCATGACATACTGCCAAGAAAACTCATCCTCTATTCTAGAAGTAATGGTGTAGTGCGATGAAGTGCTGCTTCGGCTATCCTAAAAATCGATGTGTCACGGAATTAATATGAAGAACAGCGCTTAGGTATATAGTTTTCGTGAAATCAAACGATTTTCGGTCCATCTTTGCGCATTCTAGGAGGTTCTTAGGTGCGAATTATAAAACCACAAGTTTACTTCGCAGGTTCATTTACATAGGTCTAACTTAGCTAGAACATAAAGCACGCTTTAAGCATTCCCATTCGCAACACTAAGTCACTGCAAACACATGAGTCCCGATGGAATTTATGACTGATCCACCAGTTCGTAGTTTGTGTATGAACACTATAAAGTAGAGGAGCATTCTCTGTTTCCCTACTTAAGTACCGGTTCGTTGTGACTGCGAAATTGTCTGGTTTGTTGCTACGGACTCGTCAGTCATGTTTGTCGATCCCGCGTTCTTCAGCTGTTGTTAAAAAACGGGGGTAAATTCAAAAATCGAAGTTCTAAGCAGGGTTTTATTATTGCCTTGCTTGTAGTTAAACATGCAGGCCTTCAAAGAAAGTTCAATTGGGCCTATTCTTCTTGAATCACCTTCTTGATCCAATCGATGAAATACGACACTCGTGTGTAGATTCCAGGATAGACTGATGCACAACTGACACCGTACGAGACGATTCCTGTGACGATCCATTGGTTGTCTTGGTTTGATCGACACAACAGTGGGCCACCGGAGTCGTACTATCAAACAGTTAGGAAGCGTAGATAGTTGGTGAATTTAGAAATTATTTTCTACTTGGCACAAAAATACCGTATTTAAAATAATCTTAACCAATCCGAAAATAGTACTGAGGTAGCAGAGGCATTACCCTGTGTCAGGAAATTGGTAGTTTGGTGGGTACACAATAGAATTTGATCGCAGGCGCTTATATTTTACTAATTTATTTCGACTTTTAGAAATACTTCAACTTAATTTATTAAAATGAACCGTAAGGTTGACACTATAGTGTTATAAGAATCCCTATTGCTTTTCGTTATTCTCATATGCGAGGCTCCAATATTGGTGCTTTCATTTTGTGCCATCAGGTAACCTGTTGGTACAGTTAAATTTGGGCAGGGATACTTGATTTATAATTGTATCAACGCGAACCAACTTCCTTGAGTTTTGCACCGTATCAACAAGCTATTCGAACTAGCATGAAGTTCGAAAGATTTTGAATACTGACGGTTTTTCATAGACTACCATCGTGGCACCAATTCTCTCCTGAACCAGAAATCGCTTACTTCAATATAAAAAGTGGCTACAATATCAACCTAAAGAAAACCCATTTCTACTCTAAATCTCCCGGACCTATCAATTTTAGTCAATTGTAGGCTTATTCCAATATATTAGAATTGACTCTGTTTTATGGATTTGGCTGATGAGCGTGTTTTGATCAACTTTCCAACTTCCAGACTTTAGCGAGTAACTGTGATAAGTTTGTTAGCGCGCCAGTGTACATAGTAGCTCAAACGACAATCGCTCTAACACATATTATGCCAAACTCTCCATTCAATTATCTATTTTTCGGACTAATATATAATATTATAAGATTATGGCCTGCTAAGGGATAGTGTCTGTACCTGTAGGAAGCAGTCTATTCCCCTATTTAATAGCCACTGGTTTGACATTAAGTTATGGGATGCTCTCTGCGGTCTATGCTTTTGGGCGAATATGCGCCGCTAATGTTTCTTATGGCTACCAAATATAGACGAAGTATTATATATGTGAAATGACGTTGCCCAAGTTATGAGAAAAACAGATGGTGGGATCTTTACTCATAGGTGTTTCGGTTCAGATAGTATCAATTGTTTCTATGCATGACATAATGTTTGTACAAAGTTACCTCACCTTCAATTTATGATCGACGCTTTTGGAGCGTCGGCGATCAGGCTGACGCTAGACTGGCATATTGACAGCTAGAAATCTGGTAAAAATTACCAAAACTACCTCTGACAGCGCATCGTCAATGATGCGGTAGGGTCATGTCACTACACTCACCTATTTGCTGACGCCTTCAAGAAAGTTAGGACAGCGGAGATGGATCTTATGCTAACTATACAACCAAGTGAAAGTAGGACTGTTGGATGCCTGTTGAAGCAAATACTTGCTATACGTCTGCCAATAAACCTCGAATATTTCGGGAGACGTGTTAGTCCCAGTGAAGGATTCTGATTTGCCTTGGTCTGTAGTAAATTAGGCAGGTTACCATAAGAAGGAATAAGGCCAATTAGGCGTAGACATCAAAGACTGAGTAATAATTATGAATCAGTGGAAAAATGCAAAAATCCCCGAGTGCTGAAGCGATAGGAGTATGCTGAACTGAGCAAACGCCACGAGTTAACACCAATAATCAGGTATCTCAACAATCTAAGGACCTTAAAATGTGGATCCCCCTCAGTGCGCAGTCTCTGTGCCATATTTCTTAGAGTCCGCAGGACAGGAAGTATTGATACCGACCGATACCAAAAAAATTTAGGTTAAGCCACCAACACTGAGGACTTTGATTTTTCTGCTCACCAGTTTTAAAGCCGTCATCATCTATCATCAATGACTCCCGGCTAACGTGCTTCATGACTTTCTATTATTCTCCTGTAAGTTTGGAGGCGGATAGGATTTACACGATGAGCTCATGCCACATAGGAATTCATTGCATCTCATCCCTGTTATTTTTAGTGAAGGCGTGTAGGATAGAGTAGAGAGTAATGCCGCAATTTTCTATGCGCCTTTCCAGTCATTGCGGTTACAATGTAAGTGTGCGAGACAGCGTCGAGACAGCGTTACGAAAAGGAAAATAATTGGGTTTACCACCATTGTACTCGCTCAACTAAGTATCGTTTTGGTTTCACTAACCTGGCAGGCGTCTTTGCCATCGTCACCACCGGCACACAACATTGACGGTTCAAGCGAAACGCGTGGGGTTCTGTGAGACAATTTCGAGTAGCTTTGCTGGCAGACAGCTTGATTCACTAGCGGTATGCTGATATGTTGAGGAACCGCGGAAATATTTCCATCTTTGGGTATACAATAACAAATGGAACGGTGAAAAGAATGTAGACCAAAGGAAGTGAGTTCGAAATGGATGAGCCTGTTTTAAAATTTACTTCATGTTACAGGAGGTTAGTTCAAATTAACACTAGGCTTCTAAACGTGCAGACTTGACTGTGGATTGAGTAACTTTTCGTCTTACGGTATTCCGTGGGAAGTCATTCAAGCCGAATTTAATGTGGCTGATATTAAATGTTTCTACGGTCTAACTGATTAGCTCCGCTAAGTTGCGTCTGAGGTCGGGTAAACTGAACGAACTGAACAACCTCCGCGTGATGTCAGCTGGGTGATTCAGGTGTAAAGAGTTCCAGCAAATAGTTCGGCGACAGTATTCCAGGACGTGGTAGGTTTTCGCCTGGCAAACGTTCTCCCTATAAAAAGCCACAAATGTCTGCTTAACACCACTGTGACTTGGCGGTCATGACTCGACACCAAATAAAGTTACTGCCTCATGGATATCCGGATAATCCATTCCAACCCACGCGTATCAGTCTTCTACACGCACACTGCCGACGATATCAAACATTTGAGAATGGAGCAGCGCAATTGCAAACGAGAACTACACAGCTAACTACACACCAGTACATATGTTAATACACCCCTACGCAAACATACACTGTTACGGCAAACATATAGGATTTTTGCACATTTTGACCACGCATTGTTATGTTAACATGCTCATGCCTGTAATGGTGTGCCTCACCTTGTCGAGAGTAAATATTTCTTTATTTATTTATTCGGTAAGAGTGAATGCTGACAGCTCAATGGAGCGATTCAACATTCTCTCCGGTGGTTGCTGACAGTATCCATTATTGGGTTTGTTTTCTGCCAGATACTGCTACGTAACTGCTATCAATCCCGCACTGAAGATGCCACCTCGAATGGTGGCGAAGCGTTTGCAACAAAGTTGCCCAGCTCGGAGAACCTCGGAGCAAGCCTCCCGAGCTACCAATATTCCAAAGCATTTCAATACAACATTAACCCTCACGTTAGTTGTTCCCACATTCTGTACTGTTTGTTATGCAGACACTGCAAATTATATCGGAAACAGGGAACCCTGTTCTAACTAGCGGACTCGATTTGTTGGATAGAGTTTGTCCCTCCCTAACTGTCAGCTTATAGAATAGCGTCCGTGCAGTACACATTTCGAAAAAAGCCTAAACATATAGTTATAAAACAAATCTCTAACGCAACAGCACAATTTCCACACACAGAACTAAGAAAGTCGTTGCAACATGACATTTTTTATTGTTTGCTAGCTACTACTGGCCTCGTTGTTCAACAAATTATGATACTGATTTGGTCATATGTCGGACTGACGACGTCATGATGTCCCGTTCCTATTCGTAAAAGGTGTAACATTGTATCGGTGTAGGCAACCGCTGGTTGTGACGACCCATCTGTCTTTATACCTGAAACGTGGTTTGCGCTAAGGAATTACTTTTCAATCGATTGGCCATGGTCCTATTACAACTCCTGTACTACTTTGGACCGGATCTCAGTAGTGTCGTTAGGTACAGTACATGTGTACTATCCCTTGTAGTATGACCAAACGGCTCAGTTCCTCTACATGACCGAGAACAGTAAGTGATAGCGGCTTCTGCTGCTGACGGCATGACGGCCACCTACTTGAGTGTTTAAAATTCCGTTTGGCGTTTTATGTTGCAACCACATATTGTGTGCGCGGAATTGGAATGGCTGCTGAGAGACGGACGGTAATGCAAACCTCTCTGCTGGGGCAATTGCTCCCTAGCTTATTCAGTTGCTCCATTATTTTGTAGGAATGAGCGTCAGTAGGTCTTCAGTGCATAACCGTACTAAAAATAAGTCGCAGTGAAATCATCCTACTCAACAAATCAATTGGCCAAATGTAGGACAGGCATTTACGACAAGTTCGTTTAGTGATTTAGGAAATACCGACTTTCTGTGGTCACACCCCATCCTGCAACAGAGCACATCAATCCGTCCTCAAACTTTTCGTCCAGATAGGGGAGGCAGGCCAACTGGACATATTCATCCAACTTCGCGGGCCGAGCCAGCTTCACCATCGCGATGTCATTTCTTATACCTTCGCGTTTTGCGAAATCTGAAAAACGAAAATTGCAATCCAATTTGGGTTACATTGCAAAACCAAGAGAATTAAGTCGCGCGAACGTAAATTTTCATCTTGTTTTTATAATCATTCATCGCCAGTGAACAACTAATATTTCTTTTTCAACTAAAATAGCATGACATCTAAACTCAGTCAGACAGTCATCACATGCCTGAAAATACTCTGCGCGGCTATTCCATCCTTTCGGAAATAGCATTGCACATTTCATCAAACTGCTTATAATGCCATGAGCTTACTGAAGGTTTAAGTTTGGTGAGTTTATAGTTTAGTGGGGGGGTACTCTGTCCTCTGCACGCAGTAACATGCAAGTCAGTGCATAGTGAGTGGTGATATATCACATCTAGTGACTTATTCACGATGGTCGTTGCAGTCCTCCGTAGCTCAGTAGTCCCAACTACAGACTGGCAACAGTAGCTTTGCGGTTCCCTGCCCCAAGGAGATGCGCACTGCTGAAAATTTCCGAAAGGATGTAACGACAGTGGGTGTTATGACCGTTTGAGGGAATCTGTGTGTGATGAATTGCTACCTATACGATTCAATTTCCCCTACTACTGCTTTGTAAATTGGTGTTTAGTAGTTGCAACACAAAATATGGATCGATCGATCATGTTTGGTGGGAACAGTTCTGTTGTTTCTCCAATAACAGGTACAATCACATTCGTTGTGATTTCGCGTGCAACGGTTCCAGTTTGACGTATCAACTGTTCTTTTAACTTGTGGTCAGTAAAAACAACTTGGGACCGAAGACTAAGACATATGTTTTTACTGGACCGTTTGACTACCGTTGCCCGAGTGCAGAGTGAGGGCGAAATGAACGGCCCATTGAGAAAAATATGTTTAGTGTAACGGACTCAAAGTCTGATAGTTTGACGTCATTTGTTGCGCTCTGAGCTAACGGTATCTTATGGATACGTTTGTATTAGGTCCCAGACTTCGATCGATGACTTCTAGAAATGGTGATAGGCTCTTCGCGGTAGCATACAACTGAGACGGCCGTGAGCTGCACCGCTCAGAAAGTGGCTGAGTTCCAGTGGCCAGTTTTACTAGCTCTATCTTTCAACGGAAACGTTCAACTTTCGATTATGCTTTTTACCTTCGCTTACCATGCACTGATTTTCAGTTGCGATTGGAGAACAAACGATGAGCATCTATCCATTATAGCTGAGTGTGTCTAGTGGCTTATCAGTTCAACCATTATGTTACCGTGTACATGAGCGTATGATCGGAGGACACTTGTAATTGGCGAATATTCCATACTGAAATCAACGCGTTTCCGTCTAACATACGATCACTCAACGTAGGTCGAATCAGGTATTCACCCTTAACAATGAAATTAAACCGATCCTAGTAGTACATTGGTTCCTGAAACACGGAGCACGTCTTCGAACAACAGGACACTTGGGTTGAACTACCATGCGGGAATGTACATATCCTAAAACAAGCTCATAGGTGCTCAACGTAGCCCCTAATCCCATGTGATTCAAGTCAGTGACTCAGTACTAAGTAGAACACCTTGAAAACTAAACCCAGTTTCTCCGATTAGGTAAACAACAACGAGGCCTTTGGGAGAGTGAATTTACTGATTAGAACCTTCGGAAACGCCCTCAACATCGAGTTGTTCATCTTATCTCGATAACAACATAGTTTTTTTTAGCTGTCATACACAATATACATGTAACAAACGTCTTTGAAGGAACGTGGCTGATCAGAAAATATATGTTTTTTTAATCCAACCGGGGTTCTGTTTTTCGGCATTCACCGCTACCGTTCGAGTGAGGGGCGATCGACAACTCTCTACAAATCAAGTCCGCCAATCCAAGTTATAAGCACTTTTCTTGTTATTTCTAATAATTTAACCATAATCATTTAAACCTTTACACCACCCGAAACTCGTGGTAAATTAAAGTATCATAAATTGAAATGTGGGTCGGTTAAATTCCACTGTTTTCGGAAGTCTTGATAGAATCCATTCACTATGGAAAAGAACGACACCAGCAACTTTGAAAGTCATACGTGCTACTCCATTGGAAAAGATTTCAAAGAATAGCCATAAAAGACTTGATTGTTCCATTGATTGGACGTGTGAAAATTATACTCACCGTCATCTGGGAAGCGGATTATTTTCACTACGTCGTAAATAGCTTCGTGTAGCTCATGCTCCTTTAAGTGATGTTCACCCAGAACTGCGATCCATCTATCCGGGGATGCAGTCAAGTACGGATTCCATTTTTTCCTATGGTTTCGCAAAAAGATGAAATGCTTTATCCAACAAGAATCTTATAAACCTTAAAAATTGCCCTAGCACCAAACGGTAACATTTTGAAGGCATTTTGTATAAGCGATACAATCTTAGGAAATACAGGCTCTACTCGGACAACGCACCGTGATAACCAGGGCACTTATTTTATTCTGGCAAGGTTTTACCTGCTCAGTATCTAATGGAGGAAAATAAAGCGAGCCATTTCCGAGTTTTCAGAAGTCAAAACACAACAGCTTTTGGTGTCTAGTGCATAGTAGAAATTCTCTGGACTGCCTTTATGCTCATTTTCTGTCAAGTGGATCGACTATGTGGCCATTTCTCATATGGAAACTTAGTACCCTGCGACATTATTTGATCACTAACCGATTCTTACTTCCCTGTGGTCAAACCTGACAACTGTGTGATATTCAGTGTTCGTTTCATCCACTAGCTCCATACAACATATGTGTATATCCCCCAGCGAACTTTGCGATGATATTGGTTGATAGCACTGCTGTCCATGACCGGTCATACTTGTTTATATCGCCTAGGTAACAACCTGACGATCTTGCCATCGAAGACTGGCGCATATTGAAAGCTACGGGATAGTCAGCGTCAACCTTTCATTAAATATCTCTGTGCAGACAGTGCTATGCTTCCTTCCATAACGCCAATTAAGACGATCAATACGCACCACGCTTTCGTGCCGGTGCTTCCACGCGTACCCCTGACTAGGGTACAGGAGTGAACTGCTCCTCAACACCATGTTCGCGCGACTACATGGATGTGAGTGTCCTATCCGCGGTGGCTATAGCTGCCTGTGGAAGGTGTAATACGATAGAAAAATAGGGCTTTTGTGTTTCAATTTCCAAATGAGAGAAAGCAACGCTACACGAGGTAAGGCTTCACAACAGTAAGTCAGAACCTTTAGGGTTCTGCGCAAGGTGAACGGCCACTGCAGTAGTTAAGGACATACCTCCACCCTCCCATAATTGTGAAAGGCTGGCGGAAACAGTACAGCAAATGTTGGGCACAAACTTGCCTCAGGATAACAAAGCATAGTAGAATGTCTGACCTCCAGTGAACTCGACTGCAAGTCAAATCCACAACGCTGAGTGTTCCAATAGCAACATGACACATCCAAACACAATAAACAACCACTTCGGCGCTACTCCAGGCTACTGAGTTGTTACCGAAGTGGTCATCTCAGCCCACTCGCAACATATTGCCCTAACCAAATTGCATCCCACCTGCCTAGCTGAAACTCAGGAAGTAAGCTAATACCAGTGGCAACAGGGCCGTAGTTGCACTAAATATCGCTCTAAAACCAGCAGCTGCAGCACTACTGCCACACCCAAGAGCAATGTGAGAGGCGCTGGTTTATTTGTGCGATACAGATTGCCGTTTCTCCAAACCACGGCATACACTCTTATGAATGACACTCAGGCGCAACAGGAATCCATATGCATAAGGGGTGCCAAAGTTCTGGAACAGAAAATGAATTGGCAGTATGCCGGTATGCATTGTCGATGCTTTGGTGCCATGCAACCACCACCAGTCGCGCTTGGGCTAAGGAGATTGCGTAGGTCGCCCGGTTGCTTACGCAGCCTCGAGCCCGCGACCCTCGGATTACAAGATATCATTTTGATTCTTTTGGCCATGTTTCCGAATTGGCATCGGATTTATCGAAATTAAATCAGAGAGGTGACTAGGGTCAATAGAACGCCATGATCAACCTGCTTATCTTCATGACTAAGTCTAATAACCTAACGAGGATCACCGGTCACTTGCATTTCAAGCGTGACGGTGAAGCCAAGCTTCTTCGGGTTGTGCTTAATTCTGTCGATAAGACGAAAACTGTCTTGGTTTCGACAGCTCGTCTCCGAAACGGGTACTAGTCGGTCCGTGTTATTTCAGATGTTTCATGAAAAGAGCATACTTGCGTGTAACAAGGTCTAGAACAGTATCGCTTAGACACCTTAACTAGAACTGCTTTGTCCCCAGTTTTCCTCAGTCTTATGAGTATGATTAATTCAAAACAGGCGCTAACGACAAGAAGCGATGGTGGTATATTCATGAGACTCCGCTGTTGGACGAAGTTGCAACTGATGGTAGCTTATGAAAACCAAGGCTAGCAAGTTAAAGGATGAGGCCCAAGGATAGTGAAGGCTGCGCTTCAAACCAGGTGGCTGGCACTTAAGTTTCTGGAACTCTGGCAGTCACTCAAGAACATACTGTCAATCGAGCTCGTGCTCAAAGCGATGAAAGATACGGTAGCCAGCTTCAAAGTACGTTAGCAGTCAAAGGTAGTAAGGACCCTATTCCAGTCGCACTCTGGTAGCAGGTCTGATAAACGCATCTTATGCAATCATGTATTCATACCCAATGCACTGCGTATAATTAGCTTCCAGAGAAGTCACCGAATCCAAATGTTAACCACTCACTAGAACCAATACAAAATGACTAGTAGTTCAACATACAACTGCTGGTACATTCTCCTAACGGAATCCCATTTCTTTCCGTCTACTGCTAAGAGCCGATAAACTTACCTGCATGTATGCCGATGCCTGTCGCCTTCTTAATAAGCTTGACGAGCTTAGGCTGCATCAGACAACAAAAGCTTGGAATCTCATTTCCAGTACCGAGACTTGGTTGCGCTCAGAGGTTATGGACATCAAGGTCGCGATGCAAGGGATGTCACTGTTCCAAAATGATCGTCACAGAAGAGTAGGTGGCGGAATTATCTACTATCACCACGACTTAAAATACGAACCAGTGGATGATCCGGAACCGCTGGTCAGCGACTCGCTATGTTGCCGCTTGCGTCCCAACTAAAGTAACAACTTTGTTGTGGCATCTGTTTAGCGCTCCGCATTATCCACTCTAGGTTTGGACTCCAGCCTTGACGTAAAGCTCGATTCCAACTTGCAGCTGCACTCTGATATCGGGAGATCTCAACCTACAAGATACCAAGGACTCAGCATACCAAGTTAGGTTTTCAAAGCCGAGCTACAAGAAATTCTTGCAACGATGCCACAGGACAACCAAACGGCCTCACCCACGGGGAACTGAGAATTGACAAGCCATGGCTTAACACTCCACTAGGACTAAGCGATCATGTTACCGTACTTAACAATTATACGTGTTAAGCAGAAAACCCGGAGTAAGAATTGGTACCGACTCCCACCGTCACATGATACAATATCCTAAAAGATGGCTGATATGACTGGCTGCGATTACTTGAAATGCGAAGCTCTTGACTACATCTGGGTTCTCGTTGTCAAATGTTTCACCAAACTGATCTTAAATGATTCAGCAACAAAGCAAGCTCGTTCCATTAAACCCTCATATTCCATCAGAAATAGAGGCCCAAAGTGCACGACGGTAAGGTATGCAGTTTGCATAATAAGAGAGTGTTTCCTGGTTCCGAAAACTGAAGTGACCACATGACGTATTGCAATCACTGTAGAAGATTCCCTAATGTCTCATCCTCTGCTGCTTTTCTACCGCTCTCCGCCTCATGTTTGTGATTTCCTTTAACGTTTTCCAACTCTTTTCTCCGTCCCAACCGCTCTTTTTTACGTGGCTCTCGGTGGAGATTGCATTCCGTGTCAAGTTAACTAAGTTTATGTGCACATTAAACTCATAGATCACCTGCATTCAACCGTGCAGGCATTGATCTATATTTCCAAGTTCTTGACAGACCTAATTGTCGCTTCCTGTGGCTTCTCCTCATGTTATCAGTTTGTGACGTTCCGTTGTAACTTCCTCGCCTTGACATTCGGATACTGGAGAGCAAGATATTCTTCACAGCCACATGTGACCTGACGATGTTGCGTGATCGTGAGTAGAGTTCACATACATGAAACTAACTCGTCCGTGAAGACAATTGTAAATGTTACTCTATGTGCAATTGAAACACTTGCAATACCATTACGGTGTGTGTAAGGCACTAACAGAACGCCTACGTTTCACGGCAATCTCCCTTTCCGATTGGTCGCGTGTGAACCTGTTAAAGCCACATTAAATTGCGATGAGCATATTCTGCGCGAACTTGAAGTTCAGCTTGCTGACTTTCTTGGATTGTTGTCGTTGTTTGTTACGTCTGTGTTCGGTAGCAGAGATTGTTGTGGTATTGCACATTGATGTTATTAATTATTTGTAATATCACCGTTCCAGTCTCGTTTTGTTGAAACGGGTGGAAAAGCGTGTACACAAGACTTTCAAGCGACCTGTCTCTTACAATCACTGTAAGAAGCTTATCAGCTAGTACAAAGCGGCTCAGCAAAAATAGCTGGTTTGTATATCTTATATTAATAAAGCGTCCACGCAAGTGTGTTAGAAGTATGCGCGATGTGAAGCATAGTATTCCACAACCCAACTCGACACTCGGAGTGACACAGAGTGCTGAGAGAGCAGCCACTATTCTAAAGATGCCGTATACGCTGGTTTTCTAAAGAGACGTCTGTCAGGTTTACATACAACACATATTAACCTAAATTCTGCACTGAATCACTGTCAAGGGAGTGTCATACCAAGCGAGGCAAACAACCAACTGGGGACTGTCGTAACGGATTCGATTACTGGACACGGATTGACAGACTATCATGTGAGTTATTCATCGTTTGTTCAACTGAGTCAAGTGTGGAACCTCATCTACTCGGAAGGGTAGTTAGTTATGCATGTGCAACAGCAACTTATATCCAGATGTTTGGTTTGCCAACCTTACTGTGTGTTTCGCCGTTAACATGGTCGAATTAACGCTTGTCCCTGAAGCACCGACTTCTGTAACACGGTGTCAGCGAACACCAAGACGGACCCCACCGGCCGCACTCAGATGCTGATTGGAGCACCCCCGGATGTTTAAATGCCTGCCCCATTGAACATGAATCAAAGGAACTTGGCGACTACTTGGCACCTATGCATGAACACGTGGATGGACTAGCAACCGATGGCATATCACCTGGCCATGTTTCGACACGCAGCTGAGGAGG